TGCATTTAGTTCCAAGCACTGTAGACTTTCTTCCCTTACAGTAAATATGGTTGACCAAGCTACTCTTGATAAATTAGAGGCTGGATTCCAGAAGCTCCAGGCCGCTACTGACTGCAAGTCCTTGTTGAAAAAATACTTGACCAAGGAGGTTTTTGATCAATGCAAAGGACTGAAGACAAAGTTGGGTGCCAGCTTGTTGGACTGTATCCAATCTGGTGTTGAGAACTTGGACAGTGGCGTCGGTATTTACGCCCCTGATGCCGAGTCTTACACTCTTTTTGCCCCCATTTTCAACCCAATCATCGAGGACTACCATGAGGGTTTCAAGCCTTCAGACAAGCACCCTCCCACCGACTTCGGAGACATCAACACACTTGTCGACGTTGACCCCACTGGAAAGTACGTAGTCTCCACCAGGGTGCGATGTGGACGCAGCTTGCAAGGATATGCATTCAACCCTTGCCTCACTGAAGCTAACTACAAAGAAATGGAGGATAAAGTTAGCTCCATCTTCGCCTCATTCGAGGGTGAGCTCAAGGGCAAATACTACCCTCTGACCGGCATGGACAAGGCCACCCAGCAACAACTCATTGATGACCACTTCTTGTTCAAGGAGGGTGACAGGTTCTTGCAGGCCGCCAATGCCTGCCGCTACTGGCCCACCGGACGTGGTATCTACCACAATGATGCAAAGACCTTCTTGGTCTGGTGCAACGAGGAGGATCACATGCGTGTCATTTCCATGCAGAAGGGTGGTGACTTGAAGGCCATCGTCAAGCGCCTCGTCGATGCCGTCAACATCATTGAGAAGAAACTTCCATTCTCTCATGATGACCGTCTCGGCTTCTTGACTTTCTGCCCCTCCAACTTGGGAACAACTATCCGAGCTTCCGTCCACATTGCTCTTCCAAAACTCGCCAAGGACAAGAAAGTTCTGGAAGATATTGCTGCTAAGTTCAATCTCCAAGTCAGAGGAACACGTGGTGAGCACACTGAGAGTGAAGGTGGTGTTTATGACATCTCCAACAAGAGGCGTATGGGTCTCACAGAGTACCAGGCCATCAGGGAGATGCAGGACGGCATCCTCGAGATGATCAAGATGGAAGCCGCTGCCCCCTAAGCCAGCTCATTTCAGATTCACCTTTCATCCATTGATCTGCAACATGGACGACTGTTTCACTAAGGGTCATTATATATTTTGTTCTTTCGGTTTCCAAGCATCAAAGCCATTATCTGTCTTTCTCCACG